CATCGCCGTCGCGCAGCCCCCGGGCCGGGCGCGGCGGGATTGGGCCGCGCGCGGGGCGGGCACGGGGCGAGTCACGTGGGGGGAGGGGGAGTGGGGGGAGCCAGGCGGGAGGAGGGGGAGGCTGGCAGCGGAGCTTTGAATAGGGAAGTTTTGCAGGGGTTACGTTTGCAGTCAGTCCGGTGTTTGCAAATATTGTGTGGGTTCCGCGCGCTGCGGGCTGCGGGTGGGTCGGAAGGGGCGTCTGGGTGCCGTGCCATTGAGTTTGCATGAAACTTTCACCTGCGCTCGTGGGGAGAGTTTCGGCTCCGACTCCAGACCGCACGCCTCCCTGTTTTCCCGACAGCGGGGACTGTCTTTTCCAACCCGACATGGATGTGCTCCCAATGTGCAGCATCTTCCAGGAACTCCAGATTGTGCACGAAACGGGCTACTTCTCGGCTCTGCCGTCCCTGGAGGAATATTGGCAACAGGTAAACAGGGATTTCACGTGCCCGGTGCGCCGAGGAGGGAGTGCTTGGAGGCACAGGCAGGATGGTGTGTGGTTGGAGGTGCATCTTTTTATGATGATGATTATTGTTTGGATAATTTTTAAAAATTAAAATAATTAGTCTTAAGATGCCCTTCTTCTGCCTCCGGTGTGGAAGGCAAGCCAAGGGGGCCTTCTGCAGCGCGGAGCAGAGTTGTCATTGGAGCCCAGCAGAGCCGCGCTTCGTTGTTCCGAGTGTTTTTTGCCTTCCTGAGCTGAACAGCATCCACCCGAGGGGAAACCCAAACTCCTCGGCCTGATCCCGGCCCGAGCCCTTGGCACAAGTTCGGTGTTTGTATCAGATCCAAGCACCGCAGCTGGATCTTGTCATATGAACGAACTTGCTTTGACTGCCAAGGATTTTTTTTTTTTTTTTTTAAAAAGAGGTTCTGTTTTTGTTTTGCTTTTTGGTGTTTGTACATACAGTTTTTTAAGTCTAAAATGTTGCCAGCGAAATGTAGACTAGCTCTGTTTTACTCTAGGCCATTCCGGTGTCTTTTCCTTCTTTGGAATTCTTAATATTTGTTTGATCTGCCTTATTTTTCTTACCTTCTTCTGTTGTTGACCGTGAAAAAAATTGTTTGCACACCAGTGACCATATGAACGAACTTGCTTTGACTGCCAAGGATTTTTTTTTTTTTTTTAAAAAGAGGTTCTGTTTTTGTTTTGCTTTTTGGTGTTTGTACATACAGTTTTTTAAGTCTAAAATGTTGCCAGCGAAATGTAGACTAGCTCTGTTTTACTCTAGGCCATTCCGGTGTCTTTTCCTTCTTTGGAATTCTTAATATTTGTTTGATCTGCCTTATTTTTCTTACCTTCTTCTGTTGTTGACCGTGAAAAAAATTGTTTGCACACCAGTGACTTGTCAGTCATATGACAATGAGCCCGTCCTAATTGCTTCAAGTCTTAGTTTGGGAAGAAGAACGTCGGTTTCCGGCATTTTAGTGGAACTGGAATTTTTGGCATTGGGGATTTAAGAAACTTAATTTTTCCCTCGTTTTAATTCGTAGGATTGCCTGAGGGAAGGGAGACCCTGACACTTGCCCCATTGTCTTTAAAAAGATTGAAGGAGGTTTGGGGCTGTCTCTCTGCCCTGCTGTGCTGTTTGCTTTTTGTCACAAAGTGAATTACCAGATCAAATATATTCTGTGGGTTTCAAAGCCTAGAAAGCTTTTAAGGAGGATGAAATGCAAAGTGTTGCAACCTTCACATGCCTGCTTAATTGTTCACTATCCTCTCCTGCCTTCCTCTCCCCCTCCCCTCTTTTTCCTTCTCAAAGAAGCTGCTCGCTAGGACGTGATTGAAATTGATCTAAGTAGTTTCCTTCGGGCATTTGGGATTTGGGCACCAAGCCAGACTTGGCTCCTGGTCGCCTTTAGAGGCTTTTAAACTCTTGGAGTGCTTCGTTCAGGTCCCTGGTGCTCATCAGCATAATGGAGATTTTAAATTAGCCAGATTATTAAACTTTAACAAGATCTCAAGATATGTGCTTTTCTTTTTCTTATGAACATCCATATAATATTGTATATCACGGTCTCTCTCTTCAGAACACAGTAGTTTGCATTGTAACTCAGACGTCTAATTTTAGGGGGAAAGAGAAAACAATGATTTTCCCCGTGCTTGCTCATGCTTGCTGTGACGAGTCTGGGGAGGGGGAAGGATGCGCATGGATCATGATAGAAGGCATATTGCTCAGTAAGCATGAGCCCTTCGGGTAGACTGTGCTCAGGACGGTATGTGCCCTGAAAATGATTTGCCAAAAAGAGCAGTTTGGTGTAGACATTTAAATCTGTAGAATAGCCAGTAGTGTCGGCAACCTTATATGGGCATGTAGGCAACTGATCCTAGTGAAAATCAGGGCAGACATAATTTAATCCTAAAATGTTTCCTACCATTTTTCTTTTCCAGTGGCTAGAAAGTTTGAAATGGTGGGGAGAGGGGATGCTGATCTCGGCAGTTGTAGCTTCTTGAAAGGTTGGTTGCGGGGCTGGGGAGGGGCACTCTGTCCATGACACATGCATGTATATTTGAACCGGGTCCTTATTTGGCTGCTGGTCAGAATTTCAAAAGGAAGTCTCCTTTGGCATTGCGTGAAAGAAATAGGAGTGATGACTCATAGAGTTGTACTCTTGGCCAGTAGATAAAGTTCTTGTTCATTGTGGGACTCTCAGCAGGGCCATGGAGTAATTTCCCCCTTGTATCCTTCACAATAGCAGATGGCCATTCTGGAATTATTTCTCCACTCCTGTTGTTGCAGCTCCTTGTTTTCCTCTGACCACTGTAGAAGTAATTAAAGTTTTGTGGCATGCATGGCCCTGCACTTGGGAATGGCATTCTTTGAAAACATACTAGGTCTCGGCTACACAGGAAATGGGTGGTTTCTCTGCAGCTCCATTGATGTCCCTGAATAGAGACAGCTAACTGCTGTCTGCTCTCTGGCTGTGGCCCTGTGTTGTCAGCTGTGTCTCTCTAAGGGTGTCCATCAGAACACATCGTGTGTTGTGCTGTCTTTCTGTCCTGTTGTGTGGATACATGTGGTGTGTGATGGGTGGATGGCTGGGATGTTCCTTAATGCTCATGGCTCTTGAGAACATCACATAATCTGGTGTAACCTGTTGAGTGTGTGTGTGTGTGTGTATGTGTGGCTGGTTCTCTTTGTGTGTTTTACGGGAAACTCACTAGAAATGTCAACACTGGTAACGATAACAACAACAACAAAAATGACTTAGTGATCATCATTCACTGTGGCCACTGGTCCAACCCTGGAGGAGCCAAGAGAGGTTTCAGCCTCTGCTTTTTCTCCTGAATTCCTACCCATTCCTAGAATGTAATTTCCTCCAACTTCCATACGGAAGGGCATGAGTTCTTAATTACAAAAGGTTTGCACCTGTAACGTCACTACAGCAGTTTAATCTGTCATTCGTTCCTGCATGGTTTTGAAATGTGCTTTTGGTTACATTTTCAGTAGTCTCACCAATCACGTGCCTTCTTTTGGTTCATTTTGCACAGACCTGCCTGGAGTTGGAACGTTACCTCCAAAGTGAACCCTGCTATGTTTCAGCCTCAGAAATCAAATTTGACAGCCAGGAAGATCTGTGGACCAAAATCATTCTGGCTCGGGAGAAAAAAGAGGAATCTGAACTGAAGATTTCTTCCAGTCCCCCTGAGGATCCTCTGATCAGTCCGAGCCTTAGTTATAACTTAGAGACCAACAGCCTCAACTCCGATGTCAGCAGTGAATCATCTGACAGCTCGGAGGAACTTTCACCCACTGCCAAGTTTACCTCTGACCCCATCGGCGAAGTTTTAGTCAATTCGGGAAATTTGAGCTCCTCTGTCACCTCCACACCTCCTTCTTCTCCAGAACTGAGCAGGGAACCTTCCCAACTGTGGGGTTGTGTGTCTGGTGAGCTGCCGTCTCCAGGGAAGGTGCGCAGTGGGACTTCGGGGAAGCCTGGAGACAAGGGTAGTGGCGACGCCTCCCCGGATGGCAGGAGGAGGGTACATCGGTGTCACTTCAATGGCTGCAGGAAAGTTTACACCAAAAGCTCCCACTTGAAAGCACATCAACGTACTCATACAGGTCAGTCCCTCATGGACCTGGAGGTCAGCAGCTGGTGGGCACCCCTCCACTGCACCAGCCCTGGGAAGGAGCTGGTTCTCTATAGAATGTGGTCAGAGCAGACAAATCCTCGGTTCCTCAAATTCTTCCACTGAAGCATTGGGTCTTTTTGGAATTCAGAATAACATCTTAAGGATGAGACAATTGAGTTGGATGAATAGTTAATACTTTCAAATTAAATAAGCAAGAGGCTAGAGCACCTTTTCTATAGATGCCCGAACCTCTGCCATTATGAATAGTCCAGTTTATCAAGACCATTATGCCCATCCCAGCAGCTTACATGTATCACGTGATGTTGGGTGACCTCTTCATTTTGAAATGAAATTCAGAGGGTCAGAAGACAGGGTCATTGGGCAACATGGCATGTGCTAATACTGATGGCGACGGTGTGTGAGGCTGAAGCTGGACCCAGATGCTCTGTGAGCTGCAGTATTGATCAGTGGGTGTTTGTTGAAAAGTTCTTAGTGCATCACACAGCCTTTGTTTTTGGTTACCATGTAAACAGCAGTGACTTCCTGATGAAATGGCATGACTTAGATGAAAGTTCCATTTTCAAGTACCATGAAGGTCTCTAGGGTGGTTGGTGAAGGACTGCAGGAACTTCAGAGCTGGAAAGAATTTTAGAGATCAAGAAGCAGGAACTCTTATCTGGCCCGTAATACAAATTACTGGGAGATCAACTTAGGACTGAGGTTGAGACCCAGGAGTCCTGAACACTAGGCCCTGTCTGTTCCCACCGCACACCCTAGGGTTGAGTTATATTTTTGTATTTTCAGGGAGTACTTTCATTGAATTCATATGTATAGTTTAACCAAGGAATGTAATCAGTTTGGTCATGCTATAGCCATTTTGAAAGTGATTTGAAGTCCTTGGAATGGGGTTTCCAAAAAACTCATGACATCAGTTTTCTAGAAATGTAGATGGTCCCGAAGGAAACTACTGAGACTCATTCCACAGGGAAGTGAGTAAGGGACCAAACAGTGCTTGAGAGAAAGAGTTTCCATGGAGAAAGCAATAAAACTGCCCCTCGACAAGGCTGTGGGTCCTGTGGGCTGACACCTCATCTCACAAGTATTTCTCCAGTCTGAGTAATTGTCATTGTTACACATTAATTTTTTGATTACAGTAGTGTGGGTTTTGCCAAACTTGGGTCCCTTGGACAGCGGTTAAAGCCTGAGGCTAGGTCAGTAAAGAGCTCCTGCTCATAACCTTGAGACGACCAGGCACTGTCCTTAAGCAGAACATGTTATCATGAATTCTTGAGGCCACCAGAAGCCAGAACCTACATCCCACTGCTGCATATATTGTTGATTCTCCCCTCCCTTCTTCATGTCCATGAAGTCATAACCCACTGTCCTCTGCTCTCTTCCAGGAGAAAAGCCTTACAGATGCTCATGGGAAGGATGTGAGTGGCGTTTTGCAAGAAGTGATGAGTTAACCAGACACTTCCGAAAGCACACGGGTGCCAAACCTTTCAAATGCTCACACTGTGACAGGTACGGGCTTGCGTACCGCCACACGGGGAGAGAGGGAAGGGTGTGGGAACTCGCTGACCATTATAGAGGAAGCATGCAGTAGATACTTGAAGGAAGGCGGATGGTTTCCTACCTTTTTTTTGGCTGTAGGGTACATGCACTCACCAGAGAGAGACAAAAAGCAAGAAATCACCCTCCAGAGGGATGGCCACACCACAATCCCTTCTCCTCCATTCTTCTCTTGGGATCCTGGGCATGCACGCACACGCGCCTAGTGTGAGTTTAAGCCACCGGATCCAGGACTCGAATGGCGGTCGACCACATGGGAGTTCAGCAACATAGCCATTATGCTAACTGTTGATCCCCCTACCATTTGTTGACATTATTTTTTTTAGCCTGGGATTTTTTAATTGTCCATGTTAAGAACAACTGTACCAAATGTGCATGAGAACTTTTTGAAGATTGTTCTTCAAAAGTTCTAGCATTTAAAGAATTAGAAGTGAGGTCACATTCTCCAAACAACCCACTAGCTGCTGATTACAGACCTTCTTAATTTACATTCTTATAAACTGGAATATCTTGTCGCTGAAAACATGGATAATAACTTACTGGAGGCTCCTAGCTTTCTCTCAAAAGAGACTAAGCTGGTATTGCAGGGAAGGAGGCAGCTACTCTGGTGCATGGCAGATGATGGAAACCTAACTTCTTTGCTTTTGATTTGCCCATGCAGGTGTTTCTCCAGGTCTGATCACCTGGCCCTGCACATGAAGAGACACCTCTGAGGGAGCAAAGAGGTGAATCCTGTAGGCTAAAAGGCTTCCAGGCTGAGAGATGGCCGTGGAAGGAAGGATGCGTGTTCCAGCCAAAGCATGCCATTTTGCACCCTACCCAGTTGCCTCCGGGGCCTCTCCTTGGGAGGTCTTTTGAGGGCTAAACAAGTCATGTAAGAAGCGGCTTAGCACCGTGGTGCGTGGTGTTTGGGTGACCCCGGACTGGCCACTGGTTCCTAACCTTCTGAGTGGCTCCTAAGCCTTTGCCGTGAGCATGCGCACTGAGAATGTTAATGGTTGGGCTGACTGTATGTTGAGGATCTATTACTGACTGAATGATGAGGCAGACTTTTTTTTTCCTTGTGGTCGCAAAACTGCAAGAGACAGAAAAAAAGTAGTTTGAATGTTTTGTGTGTAAGGAGTATACCATGGGATGAGATGACCACCAATCATTTCCTGGGGGGGTGTCTGCACCTTAGAAAAAAACAAACAAACAAAAAAAACCAACAAAAAAAACCAACAAAAAAAAAGAAAAAAAAAAAAAAAAGAAGGACAAACATAGAGGGTGGGAGTGGGAACTCAGGACCCAGAGTGGCGAATGATATGGGAAGGGGGAATTCTCCCCCTTTCCTGTGTGAAAGGGACTATTGATGTCTGGTGCAGCTATTAAACGTGCAATGTGTCAAGTAGCTTGTTTTACTTGCTACAACAGAGCTCATTTGTAACCCATTGTATAAGCTGTGTATTTACAATATAACACAATGATAACTTTTCCTTATAATACAAAAAGTCATGCATGGTCTGGGGAACTATATGCTTTTCCATTTTTAAATCAGGACTGCAATATTGATTCCAGTTAATGAGCAGCTAAGATACAATTTGTCTAATACAGTGATCTCTAGCCACCTGGGCCTGGCAATACACAATTGTTTCCCCCTTCAGTTTTGTAACACTCCCCTTCCAGGAAGGCTTGTGCAGCATAGGGTTATTTTTTAAATGATTCTGCATTTGAATTAACTTTTTGGAGAATTTTGTGATGCCCTTTGAAGAAACCGGACACGTGTTGAGTGTCAAAAAGCTAGGGCTGGGAATTGTTGGTCTAATATCATATTAGACTTAAGAACCTAAAAAATTTCTCAGTTGGGTGGATAAAACCACTAAAGCTTAGAAACTGTTTTCTCATGCAGCTATGTTTCTCTTATTTATGCCTTGAGGACTAATTTCTGATTTTCTAGCTGTTGATGCACTGTTGACCTTCATAATGGTGCCTTATGCAAGCGATCCCTTATGTGGGGGTCTCATACAGGGGTATGGGTGATGCATGCTTTATTAAGGCTCTTTTTTCACCTGGCATTGTACTGTATCAATGTATAATACAGAAAAAAAAAATCTCTCTAAGGTCCTCCTTCACAAAGACAAATAGATGAAAACTCCCTTAACGTGTCAGTATTTGTTCAATATTTCAGACAGCTTGCCTGTCCGTGTTAAAATGGAAAAAAAATATAATAATTGAAAAATATGACTGATTCTGCCACCATGAAACTTTCATATAGACCTTGCACAACAATTGTATAGATCACACACCGGCTGTATTTAATATGTAACATTTTTACACATATTAAAGATACAGAAGTATAAAAAATGTATTTGCTTAAAAGGCACAAGTTTCACATATCTATCTAGCTATCTGTTGGTAATACAGAAAGTATACTACTTTTTTTTTTAAAAAGTGGGCGGAATTCTTGTGTATGTATATTTTTGTGAATAGTATGTGTATGTGTGTATATATATATATATTATATATATATATATAGATAATATATAAATATTTTTTTTAAGGAGAAACTAGAATGTTTAGCTAGCAAATTCCACAGCCTGTGAAGAAATACTTCAAAATGGCCATAAAGGAGGTAAAAATGAAAACTGTAACCTAACTTTTATAGAGGCTTTATCTTTAATTTAATGATTTGCTAAAGACTTTCTTGGCATTGAATCTATTCCAAACTGCTGACTTTGCTTGTCACTGTTGGCAAGTCTGGAATAGGGTACCTTTGGCCATTCAGAAGGAGCTTGAACAGAATACTAGCGCACTAGTTGGACTCAGACACACTAAGGTTTTGATTTGGAATTCAGCCTTATTAGAAGATCTAACCTAAGAGTAAGCTAATCACAGGGATTCTTTTGTAAAACACTTTTTATGCAGATGAAGCTATTTTTTCCAGCTTATAGATTCTCCCAGTTTTTCCAAGGAGCAATTTCCCCGAATTGACATACCACAGCATGGACAGCTGAAAGATACTTCATCCAGCTGCTGGCTTGTGGGTGTGGATCTTTTCTTTAAATACATATATCCCTGTGAGTCTGGCTGAGCTGGTATTTTGTTTGATCTTCCTGGAAATGAGCAATGATTAAAGCTCACATAACCGGTTTTTTTTTTTTTTTTTAATCTAAATCTGGACTGATGAATATACTTACCTAAAGACCTGATTTTGTTTTGCTTAGGGGAAACATGCACTTTTCTTTTGGCAATTCAAAATCCAGTCACTTGATTTCCTGGGTTTTGAAAAACTCCTTTTTTGGCCCTGCTGTGTGCTTAGCCATAATAATTCCATTAAGCAAGAAGGTAAACAGGAGACAAGGAAAAAAAAAATAACACACAAAAACTTGCACTGGCTTGTTTCACTTACGAAACACCATTGGAGTTGTTTGGGTGGGGCTGGGTGCCATCTATGTCAATGCCTGTAATTTTCGTAATAAGCAAGTACATAAAGAAGTACATTCTGTTCAGGTGATAACTGAGCCTCAATCAAGCAGAAACTTTGCTTGAAATTTAAAAAAAATTTCTATTAGTGAAATTTCTTTTCTTTGTTTTTTTTGGAAGCACCCTATTATCTAAAGAATCTTTGTAAGATTTTTGTAAAATTTTGTTTTACAAGATTTTATTTGAAATTGTTTTTTGCAAGATTGTTATATTTCTGTATGAATGTATTTTTTATTGGAATAACATAAAAGAATTCTTATCAGCATCTCGAGTCTGGTTGTTTTTCAAGGGGTTGTTGAAACAAATTCCCACCGTATTAATCACCCTGGCTTCCTCCCAGGGAAATCTCCATTGTGCAACCCTGAGAGCCATTTGCCTACCTCCATCCTTCCTCACAACTTACCACAGCCTGTTCTGAGAACCTGACGTGGCTTTTCCTGAAATGCATTAAATGTTCTTCTCCAAAGACTGACAAAAACAACCACTGGGCTCTGGGACACAGTAGGAAAACACTTGATGTGTTTTATCTTCCTGTCACTCAGGCTAGGGACTATATTACAGTGGCATCTGCACAGTGACAAATCAGAAGGCACCCTTCACTTCCTTCCCACAGGGCTCCCTGGCAGGCAGGTTCTACTTAAGCAGTCAAAGCCAGGCCTACCTTCCCCAACCTGACCTGGCTGTACACCTGGCTGAGGTGTGTCTGGGAGGGGTGACTCCAGGCCAGAGAGCCATTCCCATGGCCTTCCTCTACCCACTCCCAGCTTTGCTAGTGAATCAGTAAAGTAGGGCAAACAGTAAAAGATTAAGTTTTTTTCAGAGTCCAACTGGATGTATTGAATATGTAGTCAGTATGAAAATAAAGTAGGCAGCTGTTTTGTCTTCTAGAACATTTCTAGCAAGTGGCTCTGGATGTTAGTCTGTTTTATTGTATAGGATAGATCGCACTGACCTATCCTATACAATGCAACTCCTTGATCCATCCAGGAGTTCCTCTTCTGATAACGTTAGGCAACCAGTGTGACAGGGTGAAAGCAGTGCGTGTTTCCCTGGCAATGAGCTTCTTAACATTGTTCTTAGTTTGACAATCTTGTAGGTGACTTAAGTGCTCATTGCTTTACATTGTAGTAGATCTTCATTTTTGCTAAACGTCCTTTCGGTTTTATAATTGGGAAGGAGAAGATTGAACGCATGCCTGATTAGAATTTTAAGTAATTTTCTCTATACAACTGGTAAACATACCAGCAATTTGGAAGGAGTTGTAGTGGGGCAAGAAGGGTGCAGGGAACAGATGACATTTTTGCCAGGATTCATGGGTGTGTTGTGTCCTGAAGCACATGTCAGCATGACTAATAGTTGGATTGCCCTGACTGTACAGTCTAAATAAAGTCTTGATAGTGCATTCTCAGCTACTATTAAGACTTGACCACACTGTCATGCAAAGACTATGCTGAACAGCTAAGTTATGTTCAAATAAGGCTGTTAAGAGAATTGTCATGCAAGGAATCAGCTGCAAACCTAGGATATTTATAGAAGTATAAAAATTTCAGTCTGCCGAACAAATATTTTTGAAACCTAGCTAAAAAAAAAGAAAGAAAGAAAGAAAGAAAGAGAAAGAAAGAAAGAAAAAAAAAGAACATGTCCTAGCTCTGAAGAGCTGTGTGTTTTTGGACAATTTGCTGAGCTACCCTGGGCCACAGTTTGCTTACTGCTAAAATAGTTTGGGCTAGGTCACATGGATCTCACATTTTCTATAGCACTGCAATTCTGTGGTTTGTGAGTATAGAGTGGACTTCAAATTACCAGTTCGCTGTCTTCGGAATGCTTGGCTCAGTTCTAGAAAGCTTTCTCTTGTGCTTCAGGAGAAAGCGTTATTGAAGAAAATTGCTCTCAAAATGGAAAACAACATTCTCAAACTGCCCTTTGCCCCTTTAATTATAGTAAAGTTATTCAGACACTTGGTCCATTATAGTATACCATGCTTTTAATTTAAAAAAAGACCAAAACAAAACACAAACTTCTTTGAAAAATGCTATTGTACATATAAAACGCATAGATCAGCCTGAAGGCACCCAAGTTTCCTAAGTTCACTCATCCAATTCCATGGCCAGTGGCCACTGTGCTCAAATAACAATTGAGGTGACTGAAGAAAAGTTTTGTTTGTTTGTTTGTTTTTTAAATTTTAATTGCTAGAACAAACACGGCTTTTACATAGAACTTTTTTCTTATGTTTGAATGTATGCTACCATGAGCTAATTTTTAACAGCTCTCCTTTCCAAACTGAATATTTTTTTGAACAATTTAATGATGATTTTGATGGCTGCTTTCCAATACTGATTTCTCTCTTAACCAGGAGCAGGGTAGGCAATATATTTTAAACTGTTTTCTCTCAGTAATACTCCAAACAGTAGATGTGATATCCATTTCACAGAGGTGAAAACTTAAGGCTTCAAGAGGTTATGCCATCTTCCCCAGATTACTCAGCTAGGATACAGTGAGAGTAGCATCTCACTCCAGGCCTCCTGGGTGCCAAAGACCGTATTCTTATTCACCACCCTACACGGCTGTCTGCCTTGCCCCCTCTCATGAGAGACTTCCGTTGGAACTATCGGATTTATCTTAAAATGACATTACCTTTATGAAATGGAGACAGAGCTTTTTCACAATTCAGAAGCTCTAAAAGCTATAAACTGTGCTATAATCCTGAGAAAACAAAAGTAACCATTTTGAATTGCTTTCAAGATATGAGACAGATGGCACGTATTTATTTTTAATGTTTAAGAAGATAGAGGAAGCAACTGGGGATGTGACATCCTGCATTAATTGGCAGGAATCACCTAATGTACGCAGTTAAGATACAAAGAGGAAAATTAAGTCCATGCATCATGCAAATGAGGCAATACAACAAAGTGTATTTAACTAGATTTATTTTATAACAAGGTCTTTCTGTTTCACTCTAAGTAATTTTAATGAGAATTCTCTAAACGTCTGTGAATGAAAAGAGACAAAGAGGAAAACAAATCTGGGCTCCACATGTCCTGGTAGAAACCATGCTGGGCTGAGCAGTCGCCACGGAATTTTCAATAAAAGACAGACTTAGTCAAAATGCCCATTGTCAATAAGTTCCTCCAAATTCCAGTTGCTAAGATCCACACTTACTTCTTTAAATAATCTGTGCAAAATAAATAAATAAATACATAAACAGCACATGATCTCTGGGATGGTTCCTTCAAGGCAGAGCTCGTGATTCAACTCTGCCATGAACAATGAACAACAACAACAACAACGCCAAATGCTTAGAGGATGGGTTGATAGATTACATATGCCGCATCACACACCACCATGTTCCTACGACGTGTCCTTTGTCCACAGCACAGCCCGTCCATGGGCGACTCGTATGTCCCAACGCAGAACAGCTCTGTTCCCCTTGATTTCTTAAGTGTCACATTACCACAATTCGCTTGGGTTGTGCAAGAGTTGCTTGCAGATGTGCAAGATAGTTAATAACATGCACTGACATTATCAACTCACTCTAAAACCAGGCTGCAATATGTGTGTCATTTTTCTGTCTGAGTTAATGAGAGGAGGTGGGATAGTCAGGTAGCAGTGAAGTTCAGTGTTCCAAATCTCCCCTTTTAGACAGGAATTTGAAAATTTCTTCACTATCATCCCCCCACCCCTTCACTTGTACACTTTACCATCCTCCCCCAAATAGGTCATTTCTTCATAAGGTAAAAAGCCGAGCAAGACAGCTCACCATGAGACATGTGTGTAGGTATGGTTTTCCAATTCAAAAATCTCACTCCTCATGGTAACATGGCCTTTGGACAAAACACAAATATACAAATCATTTAGTTAGTGTCAGTGAAAGCAACCATTAGTGTTAGCTGCAGATTCAAAATATTGAGCAATAACAATCCAAATTGAAATCTCTGTCATTATGTGCTATAATATGATGGAGACAGGACACAGGGCTACTGCAGGATTTGTTGCCTAAGAGGCCACTAGAAAAATCCCATATTCCTGAAGTTGCTTCAAGCAATACTCCTTAGACCTAAGGAGAGGTGCATGAAGTTCAAGGATGGCAAGTGAAGAGACTATGGGAAGGAGGCCAGTCAGATTCCCTGCCTTACTAGGAAGGTTTATGGGGTTTAAGAGGGGAAGGCATGCCAGAACTTCTGGTTCAACATTAATCAATCATGACCTAGTCATGGAGCTTCCTGCTCTTGGGTAACCAGGAACATTGCCTTTTAAGGATGTGTGTCTCCTCATGACCAGCTGGGGCAGCACCTAGAAGTCAGACACTATATGATAAAGGGAGGAGGCTGTTGCCCAAGCACCCCATAGCCCTTTCTGTAAGCTGTGAGTTTCCACAGAAACTTTTAACAGTAACATAACCTAGGAGTTACTGTTTAAGGGATTTCTAGAAGTTGCATTTGCAAGTGGGCACTTACTCTATTGTATCTGAGTAAATACAATAAATAAATCAATGACCACTCTTCCCATTTGGAACCTGAGTATAAAGACTTCAGTAATTTGTGGCTTTGGGATTTTTATTTAAACTTTTTGAGCTGTGTTTTTCTCATCTCTAAAATGAGAACATTGGGAAAACTTTCAAGATTATTGGGGGATTAGAGATAAGGTTTGAGGAGGACTTCTTTCATGGCTGAAAAGAACATGACAAATAATCAATAGCCAACCATTATGTTGCAGTGGATATTTATTTCTTAATCAGAAAAAAAATATTATTTTCTTTACTGAATCATTTTTTAAAATAGATTTTTTTTCCTTAAAATTAGCATCAGAAAAAGTTGATCCATGGTTCAATTCCGTAACATAATTTTCCAGTAAATTCAGTGAAGAGCAAACAAAGAATGTTATGTTGTATTTTTATGATCTATAA